TTTTAATAAAACTTTAATTGAACACAGAACCACAGCAAACAAATCAAATAAATAAAGGCAAAAGTCTTAACATTAAGACACTTTAGTGTTTAGTGCAGGTTGGCATTCAGAAATATCAGATGCCTCAGCTTGGGTGTGCTGATGCCATTTCTTCTCTCTGTGATTATTTGTCCTGTTTTTGAGAAGACTCTCTCTGAGGGGACCGATGTTGCAACAATGCAGTGCCTTCCTACCTTAACAAACGCGCTTGCGTTTAAATCCGGCTCCCCGCCTCTATCTGTCGCTCTGTGTACCTGGCCTGTACCACTACACTCGCTATCTTCGGAGCATGTGTCTCCCTTCCTTCTTTCACATAATGGTATGATCCTAGTCTATCCTCCCATGTGATTAGCCACATCTGTGTTTTTTTTGTAACGAGACAAATGCATAAAAATAAGGCTTTTATGAAAACACTGAATAAAAAATTGCTTACCAACACACAAACCATTCACAATTGCTAAATTGGGCTAAAAATAGAAGGCTCCGGCTCTCCTCATTTGCTACAAAGAATCTGCTCTTAGAGCCTGCTCGTTCGCAAACGACACACACACACACACACACACACAGAGCAGTGGGCAGCCATGTGTTGCGGCACTCAGGGAGCAGTTGGGGGTTTGGTGCCTTGCTCAAGGGTCTCACCTCAGTCGTGGTATTGAGGGTGAAAGAAGGTGCTTGTCATTCTCTCCCCCACCAACAATTCCTGCCGGACCTGAGACTCGAACCCATGACCTTTGAGTTACAAGTCCAACTCTCTAACCATTAGGTCACGACTGCCTCTCAAGGAGCAATTGAGATTTTTTTTAATTATTTAAAATATTTATTTCAATAATATATAATTTAAGACTCGTGCATATATTTTTTTGTCTTTTCAGCCCCGAATGGATCAATATTTAAACCAGATGGAGAAATTGATTAAGGAGCGGAAAACCTCTTCCAGAATTCACTTCATGCTGCAGGACGTTCTTGATTTACGACGGTTAAACCGTTGAAATAGACTCTTGAGTGTGTGATCATTTACTTCCTTATTTCTCATTCCTGGCATTATTGTGAACAGTTCATTAATGCACATTATTCTAAAATAAAATGTTTGGCACCTTAATCTTTTAATTAAAATTAAATAACTTGAAACTAAGGTCAAAATTGTGGAATATAAAGATTTTTTTAATGTTTTTGAATGAAGTCTCTTCTGCTCACCAAGGCTGCATTTATTTGATCAAAAATACAGTAAAATTGTGAAATATTATTATAATTTAAAATAACTGTTTTCTTTGTGAATATCTGTTAAAATGTAATTGTTTGCTGTGATCAAAGCTGTATTTTCAGCTTCATTACTCCAGTCTTCAGTGTCACATGATCTTCAGAAATCATTCTAATATGCTGATTTGCTGCTCTTAATAAATACTCTGCCTTCTTTCCCTTTCATCTCCACCTGATAAAGTGAAATTGGCTGTAAAATATGGTCAAAAAACAAAACTATGGTGACCTTAATAAACTGTTGTATCAAGGTAGTGGCTCCTCTACAGAATGTTCTGTGATATTACTGTGGCACATCAGCTGGTAATATCTTGATATACTGTATATCATAGATCTGCATGATTACTATATTCATATACCACGGTATGTACATGGTACTTTAAGGTACCTAAAAATATCATGATATTATGACCATGGTAGTGCTTATAAAAACATGATATTACCATGGTATCATGGTAATGATAAACTAATCTTAATTTTACTAATTAATGCAAGCCTTGGCTCTCTCATTAACCCATCACATGAGATGCTATTATACTAACGCTTTAATTATCTAAACAGTAGCACTCGCAGCTGATTGTGTCTGTCCATTTAGGACAATTTAACATAGAGGGGTTAATTTCATTAATATTATATATATTGATCCCAGAAATAAGATGTTAAATAAATAAATGATTACTTATTATAGTTTGATTCAACAGTTGAAATACTGAAAAACATACCAGTGACTGACCAGACTTAATCTAAAAACACTGTTGTACTGATCAGTGATCTCTTCCAAATTTTATGTCTTTAGAATGTCTTTGCCTTCATTTATTTTATTACTTTAATTTAACTATATTAAGAACTCAGCAGTTATTCAAGTTTTCTGTGTATTTACAGTAGGCCTGTATTTGTGTTGTTCAGCATGTAATGACACAGCAGCACCACCAGAGTTGTGTTCAAGTTCTGAACACAGTTAAAGCTGTGTTCAGCTTTAACATCTTTACATCAGCATCAGCTGCGCCAGTGACAGAGCTGAACATTACTGAACATGAGCTCGGACAGCCAGCAGCTCTCAGCTTTCTGTGTGAAGAAACCATCAGAGACACCAAAACAGAGTTTCTTAGACCGCACATAGATGAAGGATGACATGCACTGGCCCACAATTCCCTCTGTTTCTCTCACACCTGTAGGCTATAATGATCATTTAGTCATAATATAATGGATAAAATATTAAACCCACAATTTAAATAAGGAAATTACATCGTTTGCTTACAATGAAGTAAACAGCAGTGAATTTTAAATCATTCCACTACTTTGGTTTGAGTGGCTGTTCATTTTCAGGTGCTAAGGTCTAGTGAAAATCTGATAATCCTCAATGGGCCTTTAACTCACCTTCACATTCCACTTTGTTAAAGAAGAAGCATTATTATGGATTATGGACTCATATCTCATCTGTTTGAAGTTTTAATATCTTAATAATGGATTTATCTCTTATCAACATGCAGCTTTTCACTTCTCAAGACATTAACTGATGGACTGGAGTGCTGTGGATTATTGTGATGTTTTTATCAGCTGTTTGGACTCTCATTCTGACGGCACCCATTCACTGCAGAGCATCCATTGCTGAGACACTGATGCAATGCTACATTTCTCCAAATCTGATGAAGAAACAAACTCATCCACATCTCGGATGGCTTGAGGGTGAGCACATTTTCAACAAATTTTCATTTTTGGGTGAACTATTCCTTTAATAATTTCATGATTCTGTTAGTACCGTTGAGTTTGTTTCTTACAAACATGCAGATTTTCACTTCATGAGATGTACTTGTGGATTATTTGTTATTTTTTTATCAGGTTTTTGGACTCTCATTCTGACGGCACCCATTCACTGCAGAGCATCCATTGCTGAGACACTGATGCAATGCTACATTTCTCCAAATCTGATGAAGAAACAAACTCATCCACATCTCGGATGGCTTGAGGGTGAGCACATTTTCAACAAATTTTCATTTTTGGGTGAACTATTCCTTTAACTAGCAAAAAAAAAAAGCCAGTCACTTAATGACA